TTTGTTGTRTTTCTTTTGCTTTTGTTTGGCAAGAAAAATTTCGCTGATGTCATTGGAATCGAGCATAGGTAGTGTTGAATTAAGGTGACACCTGCTTTGTATGTTTACTTTTTTTACTCCGTGTTTGCCGTTGAAGGCTAAAGAATTTCATATGATCGGGAATTTTTTAAAGACAYAAGCAAATATAATTTATTTGTATGTGATAAGGCAAAGTTGTTCACCTGGGTGGAGTCGGTATGCTTGAAATGCAACTTCAGTTATCTGGATTGTGGTTGGGGGCTTTAAATGTTGCTCTAACTAAAAAAACTAAAAAAAAAAAACTTTAAATGCCAGATGAATCTTATCTACGCCACGCGGACGACATAGCAGCAGTAATCGCTGCCAGAGACACGAAGGAAGCCCGAAGAAAGCTGAATAAGCCCAAATTTTATTTTATGTTAATTTATTTTATTTTATTTCAATTGTAATATTGGCCCTTCTTATACCATAATTTCAACAGTCTATTACGAGAAACGCGCTGAAAACGCTCAAAATATTTTTATTAAAATTTTTGTGCACACATTCCTAAGAAACCAAAAAAAAAAATGAAGTATGAGAATATATATATATATAATTGAAGAAATCCCATTGAATAACTGCACTATTGTATAACCGCAATTTTCACCTTTAACTTTCAATATCAATATAACATAATCATGTGATCATAAAAAAGGTCATTCGACTTTATAAAATTTCTTGCATTTAATCACCCTTGCGCCTTTGTTTGCAACTTCAAGCAGACGCTTTAAATCACCACAAACTGCATAACTAAACCATGAAAAATTAGAGAGAGTGAGCAAAGAGTGGGCCAATGTGAAAYCCGGCATGAAAATGTGCCTGAAGTTGCCAGAAAAAGCAGAAAAAACTGCAAATGCAAACACARAAAAAGACAACAATAGTTGAGTTACTAAAAACGACAACAATAATAACAATGACAGCTTAAAATGTTACGTAAAGGCAGTAACACTATACACTGGACGCACTGTCTACAACTTAGCAAACACTTTAGTTTGCCTATCGCCTCTTCGTCTTCACATGTATACACTCACATGCATATGTGTATATCAGCTGATCAATCTGGCTTTGTGCGCATGCGAGACATATTTCCATTTGATTTTTATACTGTTGRTGTAACAATATAACAATTGCATTGTACACTGGTCTCAAAACAGAAGCAGAGGGGAAATCAAATCAAAACTCGACAAATCTAAAAAAATTAGATTTGTTATAGGAAAATAGTATGAATTTTCCCAGCCTTTGTTTGCCAAACAATGCAACAAAGAAGGCAACGCAGTTGTTGCGGACCTGTTGTCTGTCAGGTGCTCAATTTTCATCCKAGCTGTAAGCGGAATTGCAATGTTTACATTTGAAGCTACTGCCCAAAGGTTAGGTTTGGTAGAAATCGAAAGGAAAAAATGGCATTAAACGGTCGAGTCCGACTTGAAATGAGACAAAGAAGGGTTTTAAAGTTCGATATATTGAAGTTATTTGAGGATTATTTGCAATAACATCGTTATAAAGTGGCCTGACTGCGTCCCCAATTCAATCCGAATAAACCAAATATTTAGAGTTCTCCTCTTTAAAAATGCTCGGCGTAGTGGTAGCCAAGAAGTTAATAAATAAAGCTTCGATGCCATGAACATAAACATGAGGTTCATGAGGCATCCTAGAATTAGTTTTTTAGTCAAACAGCTTTGGTTCTAGAAGAGCTTATCCGAACTTATAGATATAATTCGGATTAAACCTCAACCTAGTCATCCCATACAACGCACAAATCTACCAGAATGTGAATAGATAATATATGCGTGACAAGGTGCTTCAACCTTAGTTTCCTTTACCTGATTTTCGCAAACTTTACTCGAGTGCCAGTTAACAGATGATAGATTACAGGATGATGAGAAAACTCTGATCTTCTCCCAGTTGAGAAATAATGAAGCAGTATTACCTTTGGCTATATTCGATTGATTTTATTTGGATCGTTCTATTCCATTAAACATTTTGGAAGCGTTGGCTTTTGAGTACTACTAGAAGGAGAAGTATGAGGATATATATATACATATATCTATGAATTCTTATCTTAGATATCGAATAGATATATCTTCAAATAAGACAACTAATTCCAACAATATAATGTTTTATGGAGAGTTTTTATGAGTGCCATTTTAAAGATAGTGCCTAAAAAAATAGTGACTCGGAAAAGTTTCTGAGATAAAAAAGACACCACCTTTAATGTTCAGGAACATTATATTTAAATGTATGAGTTTTGAAAATATATCGTTAAACAAAATCTTGTCGAGACACTTTTCAATGGTATTCTTTCTAACTGCTAAATTATTCTCCAACCAAAAATTATATGATTTAAAACTTTTCTATTGCTGATTATTGCTTTAAAGAAAACCAAACAATTTAAAATTTTCAGAAAAAATTTATGTTAAAAAGTTAAATTATACAAAAGTGAATTTTGCTAATAGAAATCTTTAGTATATATATATATATGCATAGAAGGAAAATAAAACTTAAATATATAGTTTTGGGAAGAAAATTCATAACAATTGCACATTTAACGACTTTTAGCCTGGTCCACACAAATTATTCATGTAATTTGCCTCACACCATCACCAATTGATTGACTGGTTGACCGGCTGGGAGACGCCAACCCCAAAAAATATAGTTACACACCTAATACAAAAAACACACCCAAAACCATAAACACAAAAAACAACAACACACAAACCAAAAAAAGAATAAAAAATAAACAACAAACAACAAACCAAAGCTTTTACTGTTGCTCGGTAATTGAGTTTAAATTATCTGCCGAAAATTATCGTTCAAAAACAGACAGACAAATGAGTAACAACTTATAGCAGACAAGAGCCAAAGCGTTAACGGGAATTTTATATATGTGAGTAAAAATTTAAAAGCAAAACAACCACATTTTACAAACGGAAGTCAGAGGAAGTGTTGACAGGTAGGGCAGATATGGACTGATGGCAAGACAAGAAAACACAACAAAAAACGAAAAAGCTTGTTCATACGCTTTCGGATTTTAGATTTGGTTAAAAGTTCACGAGAGATACGCTTTCAAGGATGAGATAATATGAAAAAAA